TGTAGTAATTTTAGCATATGGTCTCAGTTTATTGAATTCTTAACCTGTGTTGTTTACTCATATGTATCAGTAGTCCCCTTGTTGATGGGTCTGTTCATAGAGGGTTTGTGAAGGTCATAGCCAAAAATGTATCCCCAGTTGATGACTCTTCTAGTTGGACAGAAACTTAGGAAGGAATAAGGTCTATAAAATTAAGAGCATGGCTATTCTGTCTTGTTCCCATCTTTGCTGTTTCATAGCTAAGCAGCACCTAAATAAAATTAATTGTTATTTTTTTTCCTTTATGTTTAGATATGGCGGATTTTCGGGAAGTATTTGCCAAGTCAAAGCACATAGCCATCATTACAGGGGCTGGTGTTAGTGCTGAGAGTGGTGTTCCTACCTTCAGAGGTGCAGGGGGGTTTTGGAGGAAATGGCCAGCTCAGGTGCGTAATTCAAATGCAGTGTACATATGTGCTGTTGTTTGTTTATTCAAAATGTGCTATTTATTCAAAGTGTGCTATTTCAAAAGGTCTGAAGAAATTCAGTATTTTCAAAGTGTTGTGCTGCTCCCATTGTGTCTCCATGGTAGCAAAGTGTTTTCTGTTCATCCACCTGTATAGCTTCTCCTCATGCTTGTGGGCAGCTCTGCCTTCTCCTTTTTGCTGTTTGCAAGGTTGAGTGTTTTGGACACAGTTTTTCTAGAGAGACTTGGATCCTTTTTTCTGCCAGTTCCTTTTTTTTTTTTTATTTTGCTGCTTCCCACTTGCTTTCCCTTTGCCCTTCTCCCTTCCCTAAAAAAAAATCTTTTACCTTCCTGAATTAAGACAGATAGAAAAAACATGAATGAAGAACACTGAGTGAGTTCTCTTGTTTTGTTCTCAGTTGGTTCCAATACTTTCTGAAGCAGGGCTGTCCAACTTCTGAGCGTTCAGAACTTGTTTATAAAAATGCTGGATTCTTTTAGCGTAAGAAATTGGATATGCTCAGTTGTTATATATTGTTGCAAATATATCCATAGAAGTCACTCCAACAACCAAAAATGGCCAAGCATACAAACATGTTTATTAAATTGAGTGATACCTTCTTTTAAACAAGAAAACTGAATGCAAAAACCATGTTAATAAGCTACAGCTGAGATGTACAGGAGTGCACACAGCAGATAAAACATTAGGCTTTGGTTTTGAACAGTAGCTGTAACTTCTCTGACTTAATTTAAGGAAGAAAAGAAAATGACCAGCAGTACAAACATCAGCACCTAAATGCTAAGTGTTATGGCTTCTGTAAGTTTCTTGCCCTTTATGCATATAAATAATCACCACTGTTGCATTGAATTATTTCCTGTGTTGTAGTTATATTCCCAATAGTAAGCTTGGTTGGACAGTGCAGAATACATGCATAGTGAGAAATTACAGAATTTTACATTATATGACAGTAAAAGTGTGCACTTCCTTACTGGTGCATGGCATTTCCTCATTGTATGAAATACATTACTAACTTGTCATGCCCCTAAAACATAAGCAGCATTAACTCTGACTACTGATTTGTATTCTTGTCAGCTGTAATGAGTTAAACACAATCTGATTCTTTTAGTACCTTTTCATCCACACAACAGTTTAGACATGACTGTATAAGGCTTGGGTTTCTTGTATTTATTATAACTAAATGGGTTTGTTTGGCAGGAACTGGCTACTCCAGAAGCCTTTGCAAGGAATCCTTCTCGTGTGTGGGAATTTTATCACTATCGTCGGGAAGTGATGCTGAGTAAAAAGCCTAACCCAGCGCATATTGCTATTGCGGAATGTGAATCCAGATTAAGCAGACAAGGAAGGAGTGTTGTGGTCATTACCCAGAACATTGATGAGCTCCATAGAAGGGCAGGCACAAAGCACCTCTTAGAAATTCATGGTAAGAGTCAATATGTACATACAGGTCTTCTGACATGCTGATGCTATAGAACTGATCAGAACTTGTGTTTTGATTAAAAATTGAAATTAAGTCATAATGTTCAGTAGAAATCGAACAAAAATGTTCTTTAGAAATGCCACTTGATACCTTATTGGAATTGTATTTTGAGTGCCTCATGACCTCATTCTCCGTTCAAGGATAAGTCCTCAGCTCCATGCCCACTATGGTATCATCTTTCCTTGAGCTGCTGCCATAGGTCATGTGAGACTGTGGCTACAGTGCCTAACTAGAGAGTTTCATAGTTGGTAGGTTGGAAGGGACCTGAGTAGATCATCAAGTCCAACCCCTGCCATGGGCAGGAAAGAATGCTGGGGTCAAATAACGCTGGCAAGGTGATTATCTAGCCTCCTTTTGAAGACCCCCAGGGTAGGAGCAAGCACCACTTCCCTTGGAAGTTGGTTCCAGATCCTAGCCACCCTGACTGTGAAGTAGTGTGGACCGAAGTCCACCCTGAACCTACTCTCAGTCAACTTATGGCCATTATTCCTAGTTACTCCTGGTAGTGTTTGGGGGAACAGAGTCTCTCGCGTTCCCTGGTGGTCCCCCTTGGTAAGTTTATAAATGGCCATCAGATCCCGTTGTAGCCTTCTGTTGTGGAGGCTGAACAGGTTCAGGTCCCATAGCCTCCCCTCATAGGGCCTGCCCTGCTGCCGTCTGATCATCTGAGTGGCCCTCCTTTAGACCCAAAATCCTGGATGCGGGGGCCCAGGTACACACCAAACTAGTTGTAGTCCAACTTGGGACCCTGTTACGTAGGGGAAAATGAGGGCGTAAAACATGATATGTAAGAGTCACTGTGCTGGTATTTCCAAATTACATTTTTCTTCAAATGTTTGCTTTTTGAATGAAAAAGAAACATTTTCCAGAGTAAGCAGACCCTCTTTAGCAAAACATTTTGTTTTATTGAAAACTCGATTCTCCCTAATCAAATTTACAAATATTATTTTCATTGTGTTGCCATGCCTGATGTCATGAGATATACCATGGCTTATATTTTGGTTTATTTGGAGGGGTTGTTGTTCTGGTTTGTTGTGGCAGTTTGTATGAAAGTTGTACTCCTGTCTTGGCTCATCTGCTTTGTCCATCAATGTGCTATTAGCCTCTTTGACTATGAATCAGAAATTCTTTGTACATTTACCTCAATAAACTGCGTATTCATTAGGCTACCAGAATGTAATTGCTTTGTTCCATATTCCTGTAACTGGGGCTACCCACAGGATATACTTTCCAGTGCCAAATAAGGGAATATTTTGGAGGGATATAACTATATTCATGCATAACCATAATCTTACATGAAAATCACTGTTTGATATTAGAAGCTGGAATTGTTCTTTTGTGCATTTCAGGTAGCTTATTCAAAACCCGATGCACCAGCTGTAGAAACGTGACAGAGAATTACAAGAGTCCTATATGCGCAGCTTTGGCTGGGAAAGGGTAATTCTCCATCTGCATTGTAAAGCCTGTTTTCTTGGTTTTGATTTAACTACTTACTACTTGTCATCTGTAGTGAAAGATATTTTTAGAACTAGTTAAACACTCATAGTGCTGTGAGAGAGGTTATATGATTTCAGCAGCTTCAGTTTTATTCAATGAGCATGGTGGGATGTCAGATCATTGAAGAAGTTCACTACTAAGATGTGCTTAGTATAGGGCAGTTTTTCCCATTTTAAAAGTGGTAAGATTATTGGCAAGAAGGTACAAAATTAAAATTAGAGCTCACATGATAATATACTAAATTATCACATGATAATATATTAAATTAAATTAAACCACTACCTTACATGATCTATTAAAGTTTAAGAAAAATATCTTTGCTTGCCCAAAATGAAAACTTGAAAGATGTTGTTCAAGAACAATAACCTCTTGGAAGTTCTGCAACCCAAAAGCTTTATTTCAAAGACCAATTGATTAGGACTTCTGAGTAACAAATCCAAATTGAACTGTAATGTCATGACAAATTTTAATTCACCATTTCAAATATTTGCTCACATATACATAGTGTCATACATTTTGCTGTTAACTATGCCTACAGTGTTACAACAGCAGTCTTGTCTGGAAATAGCAGTTATAATGACTACTTCCCTTCATTTCTTCATTATACTCCTGTCCATTCTTTTAGTTGTAGATTTCATGTCTGCATTGGTGTAGAGATTTTGAATAACTCTTTATAACATTGCCTTAGTAGCCTAAGTCCCACTGGATTTCAGTGGGGCTCAGGTTCC